GTTATGTAGGAAAGAGGGAAATTTTTTCCCAGTTAAAGTAGGGCCTTAGACAAGGATGTGTGAGTCACCGTGGTTGTTTAAATATATTATAGATTGGGGTTGTAAGAGAAGTAAATGCGAGGGTTTGGAGAGGCGTGGAGTTAAAAGATAAAGAATCACCACAAAGTGGGAGTTGTCACAGCTGCTCTTTGCTGATGACACAGTGCTCTTGGGAGATTCTGAAGAGAAGCTGCAGAGATTGGTGGATGAATTTGGTAGGGTGTGCAAAAGAAGAAAATTAAATGTGAATACAGGAAAGAGTAAGGTTATGAGGATAACAAAAAGATTAGGTGATGAAAGATTTGAATATCAGATTGGAGGGAGAGAGTATGGAGGAGGTGAACGTATTCAGATACAGTGGACCCCCGGTTAACGAACTTTTTTCATTCCAGTAATATGTTCAGGTGCCACTACTGACCGAATTTTTTCCCATAAGGAATATTGTGAAGTAGATTAGTCCATTTCAGACCCCCAAACTTACACGTACCAAACGCTCTTACATAAATTACACTTACATTAATTGGTCGCATTTTGAGGTGATCGTTATGCGGGGGTCCACTGTATTTGGGAGTGGACTGTCAGCGGATGGGTCTATGAAAGATGAGGTGATCATAGAATTGATGAGGGAAAGAGTGAGTGGTGCTCTAGAGTCTGTGGAGACAAAGAAACTTTGTCCTTGGAGGCAAAGAGGGGAATGTATGAGAGTATAGGTTTTACAACGCTTCTGACTTGGATATGGGTGTTGTGAAGCGTGGGTGATGATGTTGCAGCGAGGAGAAGGTGGAGGCAGTGGAGATGTCATGTCTGAGGGCAATGTGTGGTGTGAATATAATGCAGAGAATTCGTAGTTTGGAAGTTAGGAGGAGGTGCGGGATTACCAAAAACTGTTTGTCCAGGGGCTGAGGAAGGGTTGTTGAGGTGGTTCGGACATGTAGAGAGAATAGGAGCGAAACAGAATGACTTCAAGAGTGTATCAGTCTTGTAGGTGGAAGGAAGGCGGGGGTAGGGGTCGGCTAGGAAGGTTGGAGGGAGGGGGTAAGGGAGGTTTTTGTGTGCGAGGGGCTTGGAATTCCAGCAGGCATGCGTGAGGTGTTTGATAGGAGTGAATGGAGGGAAAATGGTTTTTAATACTTGACGTGCTGTTGGAGTGTGAGCCAAAAGTAACATTTATGAAAGGGATTCAGGGAACCGGCAGGCCGGACTTGAGTCTGGAGATGGGAAGTACAGTGCTAGCACTCTGAAGGAGGGGTGTTAATGATGCGTTTTAAAACTGCTAGTGCAAAGCTCCCTTCTGGCAAAGACAGTGATGGAGTGAATGATGGTTGAAAGTTTTTCTTTTTCGGGCCCACCCAGCCTTGGTGGGGATTCGGCAGTGTGATAAATAAAAAAAAAAAGTTTACGAGTTCTAGTAGTAGGTTGGTAGACAGCAACCGCACAGGGAGGTACTACCGACCTTCCAGTGAGTGTAAAAAAAAAAAAAAAAAAAAAAAAAAAAAAAAAAAAAAACGAAAGCCTGTAATTGTTTTACATGGATGGTAGGATTGCTTGTGTCCCTTTTTTTCTGTCTCATAAAAATGCAGGATTTCAGATACGTCGTGCTACTTGTATTTTACACTTAGGTCACACTGCACATAATGTACAAGCATATATATTACACACACCCTCTGGGTTTCTTCTATTTTCTTACTAGTTCTTCTTCTTGTTTGATTTCCTCTTACCTCCATGGGGAAGTGGAACAGAATTCTTCTCCGTAAGCCATGCGTGTTGTAAAGATGGCGGACTAAGAATGCCGGGAGCAAGGGCTAGTAAACCCCTTCTTCGTATAAATTGCTAATTTAAAAAGAGAAACTTTCGTTTTTCTTTTGGGCCACCCTGCCTTGATGGGTTAATGGCCGGGTTTGTTGAAAAAGGAAAAAAAAGAAGGTACCGAGTATACCAGGAAGTGACGGTAGTGATTATTGAAAGAATTAGAGGTAAGACAGAGAGAAGGATTGCAGATGAGCAAGGAGGCTTTAGAGTGGGTAGGGAATGTGTAGATCAAGTGTTTACATTAAAGCATATATATGTGAACAGTATTTAGATAAAGGTAGGGGTTTTCATTGTATTTATAAGATTTAGAAAAGTGTACATCAGAGTGGATAGGGAAGCAATGTGGCAGATGTTACAAGAATAGGTACTAAGTTATTAAATGCTGTAGAGAGCTTTTATGAGGATAGTGAGGCTTAGGTTAGGGTGTGTAGGAGAGGGAGATTACTTCCCAGTAAAAGTAGGTCTTAGGCAGGGATGTGTAATCTCACCATGGTTGTTTAATATATTTATAAATGGGGTTGATAGAAGTAAATGCTAGGGTGTTGAGGAGAGGGGTGGGATTAAATTATGGGGAATAAAGTACAAAATGGGAGTTGACACAGTTACTTTTTGCTTATGAGAGATTCTAAACAAAAGTTGCAAAGGTTAGTGGACGAGTTTGGAAGGGTGTGTAAAGGTAGAAAGTTGCAAGTGCACATAGATAAGAGTAAGGTGATGAGGGTATCAAATGATTTAGATAAAGAAAAACTGGATATCACATTGGAGAGAGGGAGTATGGAAGAAGTAAATGTTTTCAGAGATTTGGGAGCTTAAGTGTCAGCAGATGAGGTTAATCATAGAACTGATGAAGGAAAAAAGGTGAGTGGTGCATTGAGGTATTTGTAGAGACAAAATAACATTATTCTCCATGGGGAAGTGGAACAGAATTCTTCCTCCGTAAGCCATGCGTGTTGTAAGAGGCGACTAAAATGCCAGGAGCAAGGGGCTAGTAACCTCTTCTCCTGTATATATTACTAAATGTAAAAGGAGAAACTTTCGTTTTTCCTTTTGGGCCACCCCGCCTCGGTGGGATACGGCCGGTGTGTTGAAAGAAAGAAAATAACATTATCCATGGAGGCAAACAAAGAAATGTATGAAAGTATAGTGGTACCAACACTCTTATATGGGTGTGAAGCTTGGGTTTTAAATGCTGCAGCGAGGTGGCTGGAGGCAGCAGAGACGTCCTGTCTAGGGCAATGTGTGGTGTAAACATGTAGAGAATTCGGAGTGTGGAAATTAGGAGAAGGTGTGGAGTTAATAAAAGTATTAATCAGAGGGCTGAAAAAGGGTTGTTGAGGTGGTTTGGTCATTCAGAGAGAACGGAACAAAGTAGAACGACTTGGAGAGCATATAAATCTGTAGGGGAAGGAAGGCGGGGTAGGGGTCGTCCTCGAAAAGGTTGGAGGGAGGGAATAAAGGAGGTTTTGTGGGCTAGGGGTTTGAACTTCCAGCTAGAGTGCATGAGCGTGTTAGATAGGAGTGAATGGAGACGAATGGTATTTGGGACCTGACGATCTGTTGGAGTGTGAGCAGGGGAATATTAAGTGAAGGGATCCAGGGAAACCGATTTTTTTATATAGCCGGACTTGAGTACTGGAAATGGGAAGTACAATACCTGCACTTTAAAAGAGGGGTTTGGGATATTGGCAGTTTGGAGGGATATGTTATATACCTTTGTATATGCTTCTAAACTGTCGTATCTGGGCGCCTCTGCAAAGACAGGGATTATGTATGAGTGAGGTGAAAGTGTTGAATGATGATGATATAAGTATTTTCTTTTTGGGGATTTTCTTTCTTTCTAGGTCACCCTGCCTTGGTGGGTGACTTGTTGAAAAAAACTTGTTAAAAAAAAAAAAAAGCCTATCATGTGGGTGATTTCTCAAGCAGTGTGTAGCTTTGTATTTCTTTATTTTAACCTTGATTTTTGGCTTGGGTCATCCGACACAGGCGAGATAAAAGGGGCAGCATAGATTTTGACAAGGTATGAGTGTCAATCTGGCATCTCTACCTACACTGGTCCCCATTCCACACGTAGCTGACCACCCAGTCGGCTACACACCATTCTAGCAGTCTTCTCTCAGTTACACCTCCACCAGCATTTCACGGTAGTTCTTTACTGGCGACTCAACTGTTTCACAAGTGTTGTGGTGGTCAGAGGATCACAGTACCTCTGTTCATCAGAATCTCTACTAGTGTTGGGGTCACTGTCTACTCAGTGTTAACAGTCACGTCCACCTGTGAACCCCCCCCCCCCCATCATCAACAACAAGCTCAGCGTTCCAAACCAAGATTCAGAGCTACGTGCCCAGAACATCGGCACGGCACCATTCTTGACTACATATTGTGTACATATCAGCTTTGAATCACTAATTATATATTTCATTTTTTATTTCTTTGCTTCAAGTAGGATTAATTTCATGTTTAAGTGATTTATATTTACCATTTTTTTTAATATTAATAAAATTGTTTATCTTATTATGGTATTATTGATTTTTCTATCTTTTAATTTCCATAAGGAGGAACAAGCCTTATCAAATACACTTCGAGGGTCTGATAGGGCTGATGAACCTTCACAGGAGATGACTGTACTATTTTGTGTTTGTGTAAGTTGGTTGCTGTGGTGGTAATACTGGAGTGTTCAAGTATTCTGTAATGTATTTCTGGTCTGCTTTTTATCACAGTACATATTTTATACAGCTAATGACAAGGCATTATTGCCTGCTCCAGAATCATAGATTTGTTAGGATCCTTTTCAGTGAAAAATTCAGTAACTTTACCAATAACATAGAACTACTCAGGTAACATCTGCGTTTTATGAAATACTTGTGCTTTTTACCAAAGAAGAAATACAAAGTGATCCTTTTTTCCTTGAAACCTCTCTATTTTTTCTTGCTTGCTCATCTTATTTTGCTGTAAGTTCCTAGATAACCTGCCTCATCAAAATTAACACATGTTGGGGATTTGAAACCATGATGTCAGCGGGAAAAATTTTCCCCGGAAAAAAAACATGTTTAAAAAGATTCTCTCGCACTAAACCATGGTTATGACGATGACGGCATTTCAACCCTGTTGTAAAATTCCATGGTTTATTACAGAAAAAAAAAAAAGCTTACCTAGTAGCAACAAGCTAATCAATTCAGGGGAAAGTGAGGGTCTCTGGGGAAAACTGTGGTCCATAATTTATTAGGAGGGCAGCATACCCACTAACCATTTTGGATCCCCCCAAAGTACGACGGTGGCAAACACGGAAGTTTGGATGTGCCGGATATTTTCCCGACCGTGGACAGAAAATTATCTTACTTATTGAAATCATAATCTGTTTTTTTAAAAATTTAAAGAATGTAACAATGTGGGTTAAATTTGTGAGTACACTTTTAAAAATACTAAAATTACAACATTTTGTTGCTATAACCCCTTGACCATCTTGACCCTCAAAATTCCCCCCCCCCCCATGTTTTAAAATTTTTTAAAAAGAAAAATCAAAAAAAAAAAGGCCCATTTTTGTGGTGGTAAAAAAAACCAAAAATTTAAACTTCATTCAATTTACTTGCAGGTTAAAGGTGTGGGCTAAAGGTTGGCGACAACATGATGGCAACATTAGGTTTTGCCACAGCTGTGTTTTAAAAAATTTTTGTTTTTTTTTTTTTTTTTTTTTTTTTGGGGGGGGGGGGGGGGGGATTTTATTTTTTCCTTCCACAAAACCCTTTGGGGGGCAAAAGTGTCATTACATGCCTGTCATTTTAAGGTAAAAAGACATCCAAGTGTCAAAAATATTTTTGTTTATGAACTTTTCAACCTACTAAACGGGGGCCCCCCTGCATTTTTTAGCAGTTGGTTCCGGTGCTCCCTGGTACCAAAAATCATGTAAAGTGAAACATAGCCTTTTTTCCCTTTTCAAATGCATTTTAAAAGGGATGATGTTTACACTTTCATATTTTAAAATGAGCAATGGTGGGCCTAAAAAAAATGCATATACAGTGATTTATTACTTAAAATATTTTCGAACTTAGCTTAAGTGGTGGTGTTTTTATTTTAGGTACCCTAAATAAATAAAAAGAATAGGTATACAGTACCCCATCATTCAACATAATTCCTTTACCTGTCTCCCAATCATACTGCAAAAGTTCTGCAATTTTTTTTGATTAACACCCATAAAATTTGACTAATAAAGTGTCATTCTGGGGAAAAAAAATTTGAAGTCCCACAAGCGGGGGATGCAGGGCATTACTCTGTACACATTATTTAGAAAAAAAAATTGTGTCTTAGTGGAAAAAATAGGGTATTTTTTTTACTGTTATGCAATGACGTTGATGCAGATGATAGTTGTCATATTTTGAACACATTGTAAGAATTTCTGAACTCCAGTACGAAAATAAACTTTTTTTCCCCAAAGCCTAAACCCACCCACCTAAAGCAAACAATCTAAAACCCTTCCATCTCAGCCCAGAGGGCCAAGACCCCTCCCCCTCTGCAGAATCCTAACACTCCCGTCCCACAATTAAGGTGGAAATGTTTTTTTCTGTAACATTTGCACCCTTTAGCTGCATTAAACAATACATATAAAAAATAAACTAAAAATACATCAATTTATATTTTTTTTTGATTTGGAACCAAAAAGAAGTTTCCTTTTTTGGGGGCCCAAGCACTGCCCCCTTTTTTTCCCCCTAAGTTCTTCAGTTTGTTTACACAATTTCATCTTTCCAAAAGTTTTCGGGAAATGTGCTATCACGTCAAACAATCTAGCAAGATTAACTGTCTACTGTACTGCCCAACCATGTTTAGCGAAACTTTGTAAAGGGGGGCCCCTCCTGTACATGCACTCCTCCTTTGTTTCGTTTTTTGTTTAATGTAGGACCACAAACAGACAGTGGCAATTTTCTCAAAAATGTTAATTTTTTTTATACTCGCAGTTTTTTACATTCCCTATACAGTGGCCCCTGTTTCTCGAAAGGTCAAAAGTCGAAATTTTTGGGAAATCTACCTTTTTTATCTAAACATTGCTCGGAATTGTCATTTGATGCAAATAGTCGTTTCTGGGACGCGTATGCAGGCCCGGCCCCCTCACAAAATTTCCCCGCCAGGTGCATTGTTTATCAGGGTGAGGATGATCCACGGTTCATCGATACATTTTTAAAAATTTTCCCATTTGTTTTAGTGTTTGCAATGCAAATAAGTCCCCATGGCTCCAAAGAAAGTTCTAGTGCCCGCCCTTTTTTGGGTAAAGAATGTGAGAAATTAAAATTTAATTTAGGAAAAGTTTGTAGAAAAATATGAAAGTGGTGGGGTAGGGGGGGTAGCAGTTGTGAAGTGGTAGGGGGTGGTAGGATGGTGGAAAGGTTGTGATAGTGGTAGAAGGTGGTAGTGATAGTGGTAGAGGGGGGTAGTGGTTTGTATGGTGAGGGTGGTAGGGATGGAAGGGTTTTGTGGTGGTGTGGTTATGATGGGGTGAGGGTGCCTTCTTCACTGTTTAGCGATTCTTAACTCCTAAAATGTTGTTGGAGTAAATAGGGCTACAAAAAAACATCAGCCCTCAGTGTGCTTCCCACCATTATGGATGGCTTATGCTCTAGTGGCCCTTATACCCCCCACAACAACAACAAAAACCCTTTGTGACTACATAATGACAAATTTTTATTTTTCTGATATTTTCCCAATTTTTCTATGTTTTTATTTGTTTATGTAAATTTCATTTAAATTGTATAAACAAATAAGCAGTACAGTTTTATTAGTGTCATTTCTCCAACAAATTTCACAGTTACTTTTTGGATGTACTGTGTTTTGGGGGATTCTAAAGAAAATTGCAAAGGTTTTTTGGACGAGTTTGGGGAAATGTGTGTAAAGGGAGGAAGTTGAAGTGAACAAGAAAAGAGTAAGGTGTGAGGGTTTTTTTTTTTATCCATGGCCGATTCCACCCAAAGGAGGGAGGCCCGAAAAAAAAAAAAAAACTTCACCCCTTCACTCCATCACGTTTGCCCGAAGGGTGCTTTACATACAGTTTTTAAACTGAAAAATTAAAAACCCTTCCTTAGAGGAGGCCCGTACTTCCCCCTCTCCAGGACTCAAGTCCAGCCTGCCGGTTTCCCTGAAAACCCCTTCCAAATGTTTCTTTTTCACACTCCAAAAAGCACATCAAGTATTAAAAACCATTCGTCTCCATTCACTTCTATCAAACCGTCAGCATGCCGCTGGAAGCCAAGCCCCCCCGCACACAAAAAACCCCCTTTTTCCCCCTCCTCCCAAATTTCCTAGACCGACCCCCCCCCGCCTTCCTTCCACTACAGGGGTGATACACTCTTGAAGTCACCCTGTTTCGCTCCTTCTCTTACATGTCCGAACCCCTCAAAAACCCTTCCCACCCTCGGACAACAGTTTTGGTAAACCCGCACCTCCTCCTAACTTCCAAACTACGAATTCTCTGCATTATATTCACACCACACATTGCCCTCTGACATGACATCTCCACTGCCTCCAGCCTTCTCCTCGCTGCAACATTCACCACCCATGCTTCACACCATATAAGAGCGTTGGGAAAATTATACTCTCATACATTCCCCTCTTTGCCTCCAAGGACAAAGTTCTTTGTCTCCACAGACTCCTAAGTTTTCTAATTATTAGTTTTCTAATTATGTTTATGGTACTTTCTTAGTCTTTTATTTTTTAGTAACACATCGGCCATTTCCCATCAAGGGACGTGGCCCAAAAAAAAAAAAAATCACCCCATTCCTCCATCACTGTTTTCCGAGGGACGCAAAATTAAACCCCCCCTTTAGAGTGCAGGCACTGTACTTCCCCTCTCAGGATCAAGTCCAGCCCGCCAGTTTCCTGAATCTCTTCAAAATGTTTCCCTGCCACACTCCAACAGCCGTAAAAATCCTAAAAAAAACCCTTTGTCTCCTTCGCCATATCAAAAACATCACGCCCCCTTGTGGAAGCCCCAAACCCCTCCACAAAAAAACCACCCATACCCCCCCCCACCAAACCCTTTTCCCAGGCCCAACCCCTACCCGCCCTTCCCCCCATCAGATTTATCGTCTTGAAGTCATTCTAGTTTTTTCCCTCCTCTTACATGTTTGAACCCCCTCAACAAAAACCCCCCCCCCAGCCCTCTGGAAATTGTTTTGGTAATCCCACCCTCCTCCTAATTTCCAACAGGAATTTTCTGATTATATTCATGCACACATTGCCCTCAGCATAATTAAGCTCCTCCAGCCTTCTCCTTGTTGCAACATTCACCCCCCTGCTTCACTCCCATATAAGGCATTGGTATAACTTTACTCTATACATGCCCCTTTAGGTTCACAGACTCCTCTGTGCAACCACTTGCCTTTTTTCCCCTAGTCAATTCTAGGATTTCACCTCTTCTTTCACAGACCATCTGCTGAAAGTCCCACTCCCAATTTATCTGAATACCATTCACCTCCTCCATACTCTCCTCCAAAATCTGATATCCAATTTCATCACCTAATCTTTTTGTTATCCTCATAACCTTACTCTTTCCTGTTTTCACTTTTAATTTTCTTCTTTTGCACACCCTACCAAATTCATCCACCAATCTCTGCAACTTCTCTTCAGAATCTCCCAAGAGCACAGTGTCATCAGCAAAGAGCAACTGTGACAACTCCCACTTTATGTGTGATTCTTTATCTTTTAACTCCTCGCCTTTAGCCAAGACCCTCGCATTTACTTCTCTTACAACCCCATCTATAAATATATTAAACAACCACGGTGACATCACACATCCTTGTCTAACCCTTTGAGGGTTTTCGTCGTACTAGTACGTCTTACGCGTAGGGGTTTTTGACGTACTAGTACTCATTAATTCTAGCGACCTCAAATCTAGTGGGAGAAATTGGTAGGCCTTCATATGAAAGAATGGGTCTATGTGGTCAGTGTGCACAGTCTAAAAAAAATCCTGCAGCACACGGTGCATAATGAGAAAAAAAAAACTTTTTCCATTTTTTTTTAATAAATCAGCGACTTTGCAGTGTATTTTCGTATAGTATTTATTGTTGTATTCTAATTTTCTTGGTCTCATTTTATAGAATGGAAGACATGTTCTGAAAATTGAGATGATTTTTGACTGAGTTTTACAATGAAAGGTGCCTTTGAATTGAGTCAAAGTAGCAGAAATGTTCGATTTTTACCAAACTTCAAAAAGTAACAAATCGTTTGCCAAGCGTGAAATACACGTCAACTGGTGATGAACTGAGTCTAATATTCTTTCACAAGTGCACCAATAATATTTTCTACCATTTTTTACACCTAATGCAGAGTCTGCATAACAGTAATCTTATATTTTTTGTGAGAATAAAAATTCAAAGTGGAAAGCAAAAAGAATTAAGAGGGGCCTTGAGACGTGACTAATAACCTAGAGGAAATGTCATTTTAGTGCCAGGGGAATGTCTTCTTGTTTATTCTGGACCTATTCCGAAATTGCCATTTTTGATAATTTGTGTGAAATTGGCAAAATTGCTAAAATTCTGACACTTTACTGGATAGTGAATTTATAAATGGTTGGTTTCTGCACTCATTGATAGAAACAAAATGGAAGTTCTAGACGAAATATTCATGTTTTTTGTACGACTAGTACAGTGAAATGGCGAAAATGGAGGCTCAAGTGGGCAAAATCGCGATCCGATAACATCGCCGGGAGGACCGCTAAACTTTGCGAGAGTAATTCCGAAGTTTTCTATCAAAATTTCAAATTTTTTGGTGTCGTTATGACGGGAAAAGATTCTCTTTTTTCATAGAGAAATAATTTTTTTTTTTTTTAAATTTGGCGGACCTGAGAACGGTTCGGAGGGGCCTGTGACCCTCAAAGGGGCAAAAGGCCACTTTTACTGGGAAAAAATTTTCCCTTTTCCCTACATACTCTAATTGGCCTTTTTTCCCCTCGTAAAAACTCTTCACTGCTTTCGTAACCTACCTCCTACCCCCTTTTCACCGCAACTTTGCCA